TCCCTCTGTCTCTTTCTCTCTCTGTCTCTCTCCCTCTCTCTCCAACCGTCTCTCACTCTCCAACTGTCTCTCACTTTCCCTCTAGGCCCAGTACTTCAGTATCACTGACGAACACACAATATGTGCAATGCAACAGTTTTCTGGACAGAAGGCCTAAGAAATATGGGGCAGTCTGGACGAGATGAGCTCTGACAGTCACCCAACAGCCTCTCATATTTTTCGTGGAGTCTGCTGCTGACCGTGTCTGGCCAGTCTGTGTAGTTGGCAGTCCCTACTGATGGTTACCCATGGAGCCAGTGGACATGAAGTCACTCTTAACAATGGTGATGTTCTCCTCACATGACATCAGCACTGAGTTCAAAGCATGTTGGGTGCATTAGTTTTACACGGAGCTCTGAGGCTTATTTAGCTAACGAGTAACAGCAGCTTATGTCCCACTAATCAGCAATATTAACCTTAATCTAAACTTGCTTATGTGGTTTCTTACACTCTATGACATACTGGTATTTATAAAAATGCACAAAAGTACAGACAGTGTTCAGGTTTAAAGATGTCTGCTACTGTTTTTCTCTACACAACGTACCTTTGACTATTTTAAAGGTAACAGTGAGTCATACAGTGTCAGAAACAACATGAGTCTGTGGTTTAGGTGTGATTTAGCCACACAGCTTGCACAGCGCTAACTGGAGGGGTATCGGATTCCATTGCTCGTTAGCTCTGTAGCTCCAGTGCGAAAGTACAGAAGTTAGATTTAGACACCAAACATATTTTAGCTGACTGACTACATTTGGGTCACGTCAGGCCTGTTAGTCCGAGCTGTTCCCTTCCTAGAAGCTGCATTACTAACTGCCCGTCTCAAAACGGGGGGAAAAGGGGGCGTCGGTCTAGTCCAGGAGCACCAGAGTCTAGCACAATTTGGCGATTTCCATTCTCCAACACACCCGATTCATCTCGTGAACAGGCCCGTCACAATTTTTCCATAATCTCGATTGCGATTATTTGAGCTAACCACAAATATTTTCACAGCTGTTCTCTTTAAAAATCACATGTTTATTATTATAACAAACAGACTGTGAATTGGGTGCATTTTCATCTTTTGGGTTGAAGAAAATACATCTTGATAAAAGCAAACAGAAAATACATCACGGGTCTCATGAAAAACAACTTCTGACTGCACTATAACACCTACAGAGAGCAGTGGTGAATTTCTGAATAATGTCTTACAGATTCGAATATGAAATTCGACTGAAATGCCGTCCCAAGCAGTGAGTAATGCTTGTTTATTGAACTTGGGCAGTTTCCGTTGTTGCTGTTTCTGAAGTAACTAAGTATTGAAAGCAAAGAAGCAGGAAAACTAGTCAGACAGAGTGAGGCTTGTACTTCAATGAAGAAAAAGACAATTAGATTGCAATTATTTAATGATGTTTAGTTGGTGGACTCTGGGCTGAACCTGATTACCTTGCATTGGACATTTACACTTACATTTACAGCATTTAGCAGACGCTCTTATCCAGAGCGACTTACAAACAGTGCTTTGTCTATCTGGAGAAAGTATCTTTGCTAGTTACCAATAGGTTAGAGAGAAAGACGGTCCTGAGCTCAGATACCGGCAGAAACAAAAGCCCACGAGCATCGTCCGGTTCTCAGATAGTGGTCTGCCTGTTATTCATTTGGGACGTTTCATTGCTCCTCTGTTTGTTTTGCTGATTTAAAAGAAAAAGTTTCAGATGTGATTATATTTAGCTAAACCTTCCCCTCCTTTCCACCAGCCAGGCCGGTCCAGCTGTCTGCGCCTCTCCAGAGCCGCGGCGAACGCTCTGTATCCCACCATTCTCCCTCAAACACACTGAAGCCCCGAGAGCTGATGGTGTGTAATGGAAAATTCCAGCACAATAAACAGGGCCCAGCTCCACAGTCTCTGGTGAACGCTGAAACAGTGCAGCCAGATTATCAGCTTTATTTACTCAGTGTGTGGATGTGGATGTGTGTGTTTATCCATGTTCGTAAACCAATAGCAGGGCTGTGTGTGGCTGCGTTGAGTGTTCCATTAACAGTCTGGATGAGCGTATGTGTCCGCCGTGACCGAAATGTCTCAGAGTGGCCTCCTCATCCTCGGAGGAGAGAGGGAGAGGTATGAGGCAGGAAGGGAGGTGGGGAGAAAAGAAGGGTGGACAATTTGACAATATAGTTATTGTGATAAATGTCACATTATGTCACAATATTCTTTCCTGAACATATTGTGGATTTCGTCAGCGACCAACTGCAAGTTAAGGGCATAAATAATTGTGTTCGTAGTTCTGCTGTCGAAGTCGAAGCCCAGCTGTTTGCCTGCTGTTGCTTTGTCTGTATCCTCTTGTTCAAGTACAGCGTTTTAAAGGAAAGCTCCACTGATGGCTCTCTAGATAAAAAACGTTATTTCCAGTTACTGTAACTGCCATGAATTTGTTTATCACTGAGGTAAGTAGAGCTTGAAGTATCATTTACAAGCAAAGCAAAACCGGCACTGCTGGCAATACCAGTAATATCACGAACATTAGCATAAGAGGACGCCTTCATCAGACAGCGCTGTGCAGAGCTCACGGGAAAATTATGGGTAAATCAACAACTCACAAACCAAGAAAAGCAGCAGCAAAGCGGAACGCTACAGTTCTCCACGGCAGCATGAGAGCGAGAGGCTAGAACAGTGGAGGAGTTGGAACATGCAGCCACTGCTGCTCTCACTGGACATCAGTGATGAAGACTGGAAACTGCATTCAGCTTATTTTAATGTTTATCTTAGACTCACATGATTTTATGTTCAGGTCCATGTTGAATTATTGAAGATAATGAATGTAACTGATGAAACTTATTTTGGCCATAACTATAACAAAATGCATGTCGTTTTAAATCTGCAGTATGTAAGATCTTTGGTCAAAACTATAAGAAGTAGCACTGAATCAGTGGTGTTGGGTCGGATTTGGAAGGTGTTTGACCACATAATACATTTGTATGTATTAACGTCAAGTCAAAGTTTATTTAAATCGTGCCTTTTA